ACACAATACGCGTTGGTTTCACCCAGTACAGTAGTGAGCTCAGTTCTCTCCATGTAGGAGCCGTTGTCTTTCTCGTGATCACTGGTTGTCCCTAGCATCTGTGTGGTCAAGAAGTTGGCTGGTCTTTTAAATGAGTGACTACAGACTTAGAAGTAAAGGAGAGGGGGAGAGCTGATGTTTTTGTTATGGACCTGTTCTTTTGTATGGAGCACTGCATGGAGAGTACTTCAAGAGGCTTACAGAGAGTTCTGTAAGAGCTGCTTCTTCTCTTATTTGGCCATCAAAGGCCCTGCGAAGGATGGAGGCAAAAGATGGGGGGTTATTTGGTTGTTGTGTCTTGTTCAGGGGCCACTGCCTTTTAATCCTTGTACTAGCTCTCTCTAGTCCAAGATGGGTGCTAACCTACACATACTCACTTTCATTTCTCAGAGAAAAAGTCAATATGCAGTGAAGAAAGTTCCCTAGGCACAGGTCTTTGAGGGTTAAAAGGAAAGGAGAGGAGACACATCAACACCCTTTAGGAAGCTGGAGAAGTGAGGGTGTGAGGCAGGGATGTAAGGATACTGGCCTCACCTCCAGCCGGCTGGGAGAAACCAGAGCGCAACCTTGTTTGATGCCAAAGCTTCTATCCCAAACAGTTTCCACTTCTGCACGAGATGGTAAAGTGGGCTCACAGTCAGATTTTCTCGAAAATCGATTTAAAACCAGAGTCCCAAGCCTCTCTCCAATCCCAGAGAGCCCAGCTATTGCCCTCTGCCATGATACTAGAGACCTGACCTCAGAGCTAGTTCTGCCTTTTCAGATGGAACTGGCAAAAAAAAAAAAATGGGGACATGGAAGGCACATTTACATAACCCCGTCAGTCTTCCAACGACCTCCAAGCAGAAACTACTTTTAGAAACTACTTTTTTATGAAGTCTGCCCAAGTCTAGAGGAAGTATCTAAAAATAATGACAAGGAGTCAGAGTGATAGTATAGCAGGTGAGGTGTTTGCTTTGCACACCGCCCCATATGGACCCCACATATGGTTCCCCAAACCTCTCCAGCAGTGATCCCTGAGCACAGAGCCAGAAGTAAGCCCTGAGCACAGCTAGGTGTGGTCCACAAACCCAATAATAATAATAATGTAATAAAAGTATTGACATTAATAAAATTCAAAATGAAAATTGGAGGAGGTTAAAAAGTACAAAGTCAGGACTTGAGCCATAGCAAAGAGGGGAGGGCATTTGCTTTGCATGCGGCCGACCTGTGTTCGATTCCCAGCACCCCATATGGTCCCCAAGCACCGCCAGGAGTAATTCCTGAGTGCAAAGCCAGGAGTAACCCCTGAGCATCGCCGGGTGTGACCCAAAAATTTTTAAAAAAAGTACAAAGTCCAGCTAGAATTCCCAGTGTTTGAGTAGGTATCGCTGGAGCGATAGCACAGAGGGTAGGGTGTTTGCCTTGCACGTGGCCTACCCGGGTTCGATTCCTCCATCCTCTTGGAGAGCCCAGTAAACTACTGAGAGTATCCTGCCCCCACGGCAGAGCCTGGCAAGCTGCATGGCGAATTCTATATGCCAAAAACAGTAACAAGTCTCACGATGGAGACGTTACTGGTGCCCGCTCAAGTAACTAATGAACAGCGGGACAAGTGCTCTAGTGCTGTAGTGAGTAGGTTAAATAGCGATTCAGATCATAATGGAACGTCCCAAGAAAATGTAGCCAGAATCTGAAGCGAAACCCCAGTCAGCCAGGGCCAATCCTCAGACATACCTTCATGAGCTCCGCTATGGTCCCATGCCCCACTGTTATAATACAAGGACCTCAGTGGATGTCTGACATGGAACAGGCCATGCAGGCGAAGTAGAAGAAATTGGCAGGGAGAAGAAATGTGAAGGAAAAGAAAAATCAAGTCCTTATATCCTCAGAGAATAAAGAGAAAACATTACAGAGAGGATAAGAATAGGAAAGGAAATGGCCAGAAAATGTTCCCACAACTAAAAAAAATAAAATAGAATAAGTAGAAATGAAAAATCAGTAGGAGGGTGGGACTGTAACAGAGAGAAGATATTTCCTGATAGTATAGCACAAAGACCAACAGTTAAAAAATAATAGATGCTTGTGTATGTATGCATCTGGGTGATAGAACATAAAATTACAAGGAAAGCTAGCCTAGCATTTTTCAATGAGAGTTTGGGCTACCATGGTTTTCAAAGGGGAGGCACAGGTGAAAATCCCATAATTCAGAAGGATCCCATGAGACTAGGGAAGGCACAGAAAGGAAACAAGATTTGAAGGGAGCCATAGTTGAAAAAGTGTTGGGAAACCGAGTTCTAATTTAGAACAATTTGGGAAATGACAAATAAAAATTAACAGGGGAGAGATAGCATAGTGGGTAGTGCGTTTGCCTTGCACACAGCCAACATGGCCGACCCGAGTTCGATTCCTCCGCCCCTCTTGGAGAGCCCGGCAAGCTACCGAGCGTATCTCGTCCGCATGGCAGAGCCTGGCAAGCCACCCGTGATGTATTCGATATGCCAAACACAGTAACAACAAAGTCTCCAATGGAGACGTTACTGGGCCCGCTCGAGCAAATCGATGAACAACGGGAGGACCGTGACCGTGACCATGAGAATCTTCAGAATTATAAATCAGGAATGTTTCCCAAACCGATGGACAGAAATTCCCAGAACTTTGCAACATTTTGGGAATCCATGAGTATGAGAAAAGGGGGCCAGAGAGATGACCCAATGGGTTGAGCACATGCTTTGTGTGCAGGGAGGTCAGGTTCAGTCCCCAACACCACATTGTCTCTCCTGCGCCACTTGGAGTGATGCCCAAGGACAGAGTTGAGAATAGCCTCCACCCAACACTGCCAGGAGAGCCCCTAAAATAATGAAAGAAAATATAGAGCCTCATTAAGCACATCTTTGTGAAAATTCAGAACGGCAGTGGAAGATTCTACAATCTCAGAGGAAAAGACTCTGACAGTATTTAAGAATCAGAATATCTTTGGACTTCTCTAGAAGACAATATGGTTTTGCCTCCAGGAACTTAGAATTATGTTTGTAGCCTATATGTGAGGGGAGAATAAAGACTTATAACTGTGCTTAAGATTTCCCTCCTGTACCCTTTGCTGGGGAATTACTGGAGAATATACTCCACCAATGCAAGTAGTTAAATCAAGAATGAAGAAAACATTGGGTCTTAGAGACAGAAGATCCAACACAAAATAAAGGAGAGAAATTTGGGGATATATACACTGGCAGTCCCAGAATATTATCTCATTCTAGACAGAGAAGCAAACCCATCTTAATGGAAATGTCACAAGGCCCAGGACAAAAAGAAGCCCTCGGCTACATAAAACTGATAGAATTTCCAGTGTTTTGAGTAGGTTAAACAGTCATTCAGATAATAGGCTTGGGAATTTGGGGTTACATTAGTAAGAAAAAATATGGAATAAGAAGAACAAAAATAAGAACAGAATGAAATAAGCAGATAATTGCCAACTCTGAGATAAACAAAAGTTTGTACATAACCAGAAGTTGTGGGTGGGCAAAATTGGAGGAGGTTAAGAAAGTACAAAGTCTGGCTATTAAATAAACAATGGATGTAAAGTACATCATGGGGACTACAGTTATGAATATTGTGTTGTATATTTGAAAGTGGCTAAGAGAATATATCTCAAGAGAAAAAAGGTAACCATAGTGGTGGATGATAACTAGATTTCTTGTGGTCATCATTTTGTGGAGGCTACTCATAACACATCACTGTGCTATATACCAGAAATTATCATAATGTTAAATGTATCAATTCGGAGAGCCCGGCAAGCTACCGAGAGTATTCGATATGCCAAACACAGTAACAACAAAGTCTCCAATGGAGACGTTACTGGGCCCGCTCGAGCAAATCGATGATCAACGGGAGGGCCTTACAAATTTACAAATGTATCACGATCATGATCATCCTGTTGTTCATCAATTTTCTCGAGCAGGCGCCAGTAACGTCTCTTTCTACCTAGCCCTGAGATTTTAAAAGAGCCATTTCATAGCTCTTTCAGGATTAGGAGGACGAGACTCATCATTGTTACTGGTATGTGGCATGTTGAGTACGACACGGGAAGTTTGCCAGACTCTGCCATGCGGGCAGGATACTTTTTGTAGCCTGCCAGGTTCTCCAAAGGAAGGATAATTATATGTCGCTTCCGGGAGCTGGGTTTTATAGTCTCTGTGTCTTGGCCGTTGATGGGACCAACCTGGCGCTATCGGCAGCTGGTGGGTATGATGCCTACCTACTGGAAGATGGGGGGTCTGGGTGGAGAAGGCCCAGTCCCAATCCGAGTAGGCTTGGAGACCTCAGCCCCGGGACCCGCATGCCTGGGTTCCTCTGCCAGTTCTTTCATGCATGTGTGCAGAGTGTTAAATGTATAACACTGTCCGGATGTGTGCAGAGTGTTAAATGTATAATTTTTTCAAATGTTACAAAATAATTAGCCTAGTATTTACATGAATAAGCCATAAGTAGCTATGGATCCAGATGTGTAAATTGTGTTTGGCCCCATCCACACACATCTGGAAGAGTTTCTTATTGTAAGAAAATGTATTATTCTATCAAAAACAATGCATGAGCTACATAAAATTTTACCCACTTTACAGATGGAAACACTAGGATTTGAGACATTCGCTTACTTGGTGATCAATTCATATGTCTATGGTGATTGCTAAGGACTTCCTGCACTGATGTTTATTCCATTAACATCTTTACTTGTGCTATACCTGTTTGATCTCACCCAAAGGAAACATCTATCTGTGTGTAGGGCTCTCCGTGAGGGTGGAGGGAGCAATGACAGAGCTTTTTCTTACATCTCTGGTACACCCGAGAAGCTCCAACCTTTAGATTCTGTTATTTTGACTGTGAAAATGATTCCGTTCGCAAATACATATCTTATAATAGAAGGAGTCACATTGCCTTGTCCACCTCTCTGTTTCCATAACTAACAATGTGGATGGTCCATAGAAGGAACTCAGTGTTTGTATACATAAAGAATTCATTTATAAATGCCCACAAAGGAGGCCAGGCATTGCAGCAAAGACTAAATTTAGGTGGTAAACCCAGAAGGACATGACCAATGAATATAAAGTAGCAGTAACTTAGAAGCAAGCAACTATCAGGGCAATGAAGAAAAGGAACCTCTAATTTTTTTTTCTTTTTGGGTCACACCCGGCGATGCACAGGGGTTATTCCTGGCTCTGCACTCAGGAGTTACTCCTGGCAGTGCTAAGGGGACCATATGGGATGCTGGGAATCGAACCCGGGTCGGCCGCGTGCAAGGCAAACGCCCTATCCGCTGTGCTATCTCTCCAGCCCCCAGGAACGTCTAATTTTTAAGGATTTCTAAAATCTGCATGGGCCAGGGTCAGAGCCATAGTACAGCAGGTAGGGCATTTGCCTTGCACATGGCCAACTGGAATTTCATCCCCAGCATCCCATATAGTCCCTCAGCACCACCAGTAGTAATTCCTTAGTGAAGGACCAAAAATAACTCCTAAACATTGCCAGGTATGGCCCCAAAAGTAAAAAACAAAACAAAACAAAAAACCTGCATGGGCCTCACTCTTAAAAAAAATTAAATCCATTTTCACCAGACCTAACACACTGGTTATTCACCAGTCTGGTACTGGTAGTATCTTATGGTGAAAGACCTGGACTGGAATCCAGGTTCTGCCACTTTATGGTTGGGTCACCTTGGGCAAGATGTTTTTAACCTTGAAGTCTTGGTTTCCTGCTCTGTCAAATGAGGTTCCAATAATATATCCTTGCTGCCATTGATAGGATGCCTCACTGAGAAGAAACATGCAAACAGCACAAGGTTTGTCGTCATTTGAGTTTGATCCATATGCATTACTGTTCATCTTATTGTTAGAAATTTGATGCTTGGTGGCAACTCTAAACTTGATGGCATCTGAAATAACTCCCAACTCATCTGCGTGTGGGAACCATAGCAGAAGGGGTCTTGTTGGCAATCAGTAACAACAATGCGATTGAAATGCCATTTGTGTACTAGTCGAGCTATGAAGTTTTGCTCTTTCTTTTCAAAGTGGTGCCAGAACAGCCGCGAAACTTATCTTGTATGCAGAATGGAGAACGGGGGTCCGTGGCCTGCACGTGGGACAGAGGACGAAACACCCACCTAATTACTAAGTATACTTTACAGTAAGTCTGAGCCTGCATTTTTGCAACTGTTCTAGAGGTCTTCTGGGTGCTGACACATGCAAACATCTAAAAGTCCCAGAGTCCTATTTTTGCCACAGAGATGAAGAAATATATCTTGGTTTGGTCTAAAGACCTAAATTGGGATGTCTTGATCTCTGAGTACTAGCTCAAAGTCTCTTCAGCCCCAAGGACCAAGTTAGGGATGATTGTCAGTGCTCTATCAGAGGCAAACCAACTACATCATTTCCCTTCTCTCTCTTGCAATTACAGAGTTTTTGGATCATGATAGATAGACTTGTCCTGTGGCAATGATGTGAGTCTTGGAGCAGTTTCTTTTCTAAGCAACTTTATTTGTTCTGAGAATCCACACTCAGAATCTGGAAGATTCTGTTCCATGGAGTTGATTGTATAATCCAGTCCAAAGATCCAGGTGGCCGTTCTGAGTGAGCAGGAGTTGGGGGGAGAGGATGTGAGGCCCAGGCTTCTGTGTGTGCCAGGAGCTGGCACATCTGCACAGTGAACACCAAATGTCACGGAGCCTCTTTGGAAGAGGGTTTCTTTGTATTAAGCAAAGATGGGGCTGGGTCTATAGCACAACAGGTAGGGTGCTTGCCTTATACCGGGGCAACCTGGGCAATCTGGTTTTGATTTACCAACACCCCAGATCATCCCTAGAGCTAACCAGGAGTTATCCCTGAACACTTCTGGGTGTGTCCCCAAAATGGGAAAAAAAATTAAAGAGAAATAAAGTTGTCAATAAGGATTTGGGGAATTCAGGCAGTGTAGGGATTGCTATGCATCGCTGTGAAGGTTCACTTAATCACTTAACTTCCTGTTAGTCGTCGATTTGCTCGCGCGGGCGCCAGTAACGTCTCCATTTGTCCCTGTCGCGTGCTAGTGTAGCCCAATGGCATCTCTTCGCTCCGGGAACATGGAGGGCCTCAAACCGATCGTTCATGATCTTGACAAAGAAGTCTGACCATCTGGTAGGTGGGCTGTGAAGGTTAAAAAACAGAAAACCTATAACTGTACCTCATGGTGTTTCACTAATAAAAAAAGAAAAAAAGAAAAAAAGAAAAAAAACAGAAAACCCCCTCAACTCTACCAAAAAAGGCAAAAAAGGGAAGGGGGGAAGTATGGTCCTATTTATGAGCATAGAATATCAATATTCCCATATTCCCTTAGGATAAAACTGACCTTAAAAATTGTCTAGAATTTAAAATATTTGAACATTTTGTTCTCTTGTACTCAAAGAGCAAAGCAACCTAACGTCTCTCACAAAAGGCAATTACCTTTCGTGTATAGGTTAAATGGACCAAGAAATTTGACTTGGCAGAAGCAGTGTAATAATTGTGACCATATGGACCTTGGAACCAACCTGCCGGCTGAGTTCCCTGAATCCAACTACACTGCCAAGGTCGATGCCACCAATGAACTCGGAAATGCTTCTTCCTTGCCACTCACGTTCACATTCTTGGACATTGGTACGTTTGAGTTTCACTTTTAGTAAGTTCTCATTCCTAGCTTAGGGGGCATTCTTTATAAAATCACTGGCCTTGTGTTCTCTGTATGATGGTTTAAAAAGGGAAGGTGTTTTAAAAAATGGAAGGGGTGTGTGTGTCTGTGTGTGTCTGTGTGTCTGTGTGTGTCTGTGTGTGTGTGTTGGGGACAGGGGTTGGGGCCACCAGTAGGCATGATGAAAAATGGCCATTGGGCATAAGCCAAGCAGAGATGTTACTCTAAGGCAAGTGAGAGATTGCCTATTCTTTGAACTCTGTGGAGATGGTGGCCCAAAAGCCCTATTCTGCCTCTCCACAGAGAAATGGAGTCCCTGGCTCACATCCCATGAGGCAGGTGCTACTGTTGATAACATCTGGCAGAGGAAAGAACTAGCCCAGATGTTACTGAACGCTCTGGCAGAGGTGTCTTTGCACCTTCGTGGATACATCCAGGTCTGCTGGGCCCCAGGGGCCAAATACAAACTGCAGAGTGGATCAAGGGCCAATGCTGCTTGCTCTGAGAATATGGGGAGCTGCAGACAGGCCCGGCACATTTCTAAGCAAAGACGATCGACCTCATAGAGACCTAATAGAGTTCACAGGCTGGTTGCAGGCATGCCCAGGTAGGTCTAGGCTTCTGGCCTGCTTGAAATTCTGACCTGCACTGTTGTATCTCTCTTGGCCTCACAGCACTGCTTGCATCCCAACTGCTATGACTCTGCCCATAAGTGTTCCCTAGACGCACTTGCACCACACTTTCTCCCAACCTACCTTCCAGCCCTTCTCACTCTTCATTTCTAAGCCACCTTCTTGCCCTTCTAGTCTTCTCTTCTATTTTTGTTTTTTCTTTCCTGTGACTTTTCCTGCCAATGTTTCTCTCCACCAGCCTCCCTCCCCCCCACCCAACTGAAACTATCGCCACTATAACTCTTCTGCATTTTCAAGCCTTGGAACTCTTGGATTTGACACACTCATTTTCTGGCAAGAACTAGACTAAACAGGATTGATAGTGTTACCAGTGTTGGTGTTAGTTTATTTGGTAAAAAAAGCGGGGGGGGGGGGGGCGGGTGGAGATTCAGGGGAATTGTTTTTTTTGTTTTCTTTTTTCCTTATAAAAGTTCGTAGCTTTTTTTATTTTAGAAGGTTCACAGGGAGACCCCTGGGTGTGTTCAGGGCATATTCCAGGCTCTGTGTTGAGGGATCACCCGAGGCAGTACCTGGAGGACATATGCAGTGCCAGAGATTCAACCAGGCCCACTATTTGCAAGACAATTAGTACCTTAGCCCCAGTACTAATTCTATGGCCCCACATTTATTTCATTATCAACAATTACTTCTGCTTATTCTCATGAACATTAATGATAGCATGTGTGTGAAGTATAAGCAGTTTCATATTTCCAAACTTAAAAATAAAAACCGTATTCAATTGTTAATTGTGTTTAATTACTAGTTAGATCGAACATAATTTGCACATTTTAACTTCCTTTTATAGTCAGACATTCGCTACCTATGATGAGTATCCATCACACATGCCTAATTATTTTTTTTAGATTTACAATTTTTTTGTGCTTGAGTTTCGATTATACAATGATCAGATACCCATCCCTCCACCAGTGCCCATTTTCCACCACCATGGATAATATCCCTCCCACCCCCATCCCTCCCATCCCACCCTGCCTCTGTGGCAGGGCGATCCCTTGTGTTCTCTCTCTCCTTTTGGGTGTTGTGATCTGCAAAAGAGGCTTTGAGTGGCAAACATGTTCAGTCCATAGTCTACTTTCAACATGCATCTCCCCTCCTGGGAGGATCCTCCAAACACCCTTTATTTGGTGCTCCCTTCTCTATCTGAGCTGCCCTTTCCCCTAGAATGCCCGGCTGGCCTCTAAGCTATGGAGTAATCCTCCTGGTGCTGATCTCAGCTATTCTTGGGTATTAATCTCATATTTTGTTACTTTATATTCCCCAGATGAATGCAATCTTTCTATGTCTATCCCTCAGAAGAACTGTTTTAATGATTTAGAAGCAAATTCAGTTTTTTTCTTCTTTCTGGAAGTCAGAGACCTCTTTCCCACATTTTACTAAATCAGGTGATTGTGCATCTAAAGAGAGTTTCATTCAGTTCTTTGTGGATTGTGCCAGTCAATACCTAGTGGCAGGTTCTGGTTGTGGAGGTTGGATCACAGTCTTTTGTTTTGGTTTTCCCTTTTGTCCTGTCTTCTAGTGAGGCCTCTTCCTCCATGGGATCTCCACTTCCAGTGTGTCAATGACTCCGCTAGCAGGTGTGTCCTTCAGTGGAGTGACGAGGGCATGGTGCTACTTAATCGACTTAGATATCGGCCCCATCACAGCAAGTCTTGGACTATGGTAATGACCTTTGGGTGGAGGGGAAAACCAGAAGGGGTTCTTCTACTTAAAAAATGTGTTTTCACACCAGCACGTTTAAGATATTTTACCCAGGGCCACAGTGATAGTATAGTGGGTAGGGCACTTGTCTTGCATGCGATCAACCTAAGTTCAATCCCCAGCACCTTATAATATTGTTCCCCAAGACCTGCTAGGGGTGATCTCTGAGCACAGAGCTAGAAGTAAGCCCTGAGTACCACTACATGTGGCATAAGTCTCCTTTCTAAAAACATAACCCTAAAGGACACTTGCTAGAATATCATAGACACTTTTATTAAGAAGCATCTTAAATATTTATTGTAAACCAACATTAGCACCGTAGCACTGTCCTCCCATTGTTCATAGATTTGCTTGAGTGGGCACCAGCAATGTCTCCGTTGTGAGACTTGTTACTGTTTTTGGCATATCGAATACGTCACAGGAAACTTGCCAAGCTCTGCTGTGCAGTAAGGATACTCTCGGTAGCTTGCCGGGCTCTTCGAGAGGGACGGAGGAATTGAACCCAGGTGGGCTGCATGCAAGGCAAATGCCCTACCTGCTGTGCTATGACTCCAGCTCCTGTACATTAATTTTTACAATTATATCTAATAAAGGGTTCATTTTTTCTTGTTATTCTACCCCTGACTCCATTATTACTTTTTTTGTTTTGTTTTATTTTAGGTGTTTTTTTGCCTTTTTGGTGGTCACACCCAGCAATGCACAGGGGTTACTCCTGGCTCTGCACTCAGGAATTATTCCTGCTGGGGACCATATGGGATACTGGAAATTGAACCCGGGTTGGCTGCATGCAAGGCAAATGCCCTTCAGGCTGTGCTATCACTCCAACCCCTCCATTACTTTTGAGTAAATTTTTAAAACACATATTGAAGAAAGAAACATTAAATGTCCTTAGACATGTGGAGACTTATTGGTCTAATAGTAGGTTTTTTACAATAAAATACATAAGGTTACAATTTATTTCAATAATTTTTAAGAATACAGTGACTTTAAACAATAACAAAGGATAAACTTCCATATGTCAGTAGTACTCAGAGATAGAATTACATTTTTTATAATTTTTCTTTTATAATTTCTTCATAGAACTAAAATTTTCTTTTTGTTGTCTTCTTTTGGGGGAGGGGTGAGGATGGGGACCATATCCAGCTATGCTCAGTTGTGCTGTCTCTCCAGCCCCTGTTTCTTTTTTTTTTTTTTCAGTCCCTGTTTCTGTTAGTCTTCCAAACAGTCTGCACAATGAATCAATGTTGAGATCTAGTGGTTTGTGATAGGCTTTTCAAATAGTGCTTTCTTCAAGCTGAAGAGCATTTACTGCAAGCAGTAGCATTACGGGTGTGGCCCAAAATCCTCCCCAAAATAAAATGAATGAAAACAGAGAAACCGGGCTTGGTCACATGCAAGTCAAGCACCTTATCCCCTTGTGCTAGCTAATCTCTCAGACCCCTAGAGTTTTCTTCCTTTAAGCTAGTTCTATGTGTATTAAGACATTCATTGAATTCCAGTTATGACAAAGTGGAAAATAATCTCTAATGTAGAAACTTCTCCAAGATTTTTTTGAAAGTTAACAATTTTTTAATTGAGAAAGTGTTGGTTTATAACACAGCTCTCCAGTGTGCTGTAATTCTACATCTGTAGACACTACATCATGATCACTGCCAAAAGTCTAGTTTCCATCCCTCTCCATATACCCTGTCCCCTTTGCTGGTTTTAACTATTTCCATACCTGTAACTATCAGTCTGTTCTCTGAATCTACAACTTCATTTCTGTTTTGTGTCCATTGCTTTCTTTCCCTTTATATTCCACATGAATCAAAAATAGTATGGAACTTGTCATTCTTCATTAATTGTTTTGAGGGGGAGTTCATACCCTTTAGTGGTGAGGGCTTGACCCTGTACTCAGGGATCACTTCTGGCAGTGCTTGGGAGATCTTATGCAGAGTTGGGATCAAACAGGGGTTGGTTGTGTGCAAGGCAAGCACCTTAACCCCTAAACTATCTCACTGGGTTTCTAGAAATACATGCAGATGACTTGTTTGTCCCAAAAGTTTGGGTATTTTTTTTACCTTAAAGAGAAGCTATTATTTCAGATTAACATTAGGTATTTGATACACCTGATCTAGTCATTGGTATTCTCATTGAATGATGGATCTGAAAAATAAAGAGGTTTACCTGGTCTAATTTCTGATCTTTATGTTACAATTATTTAAATTAATGGAGTGTTAATAAGCACCTTTTAAAATCTCATCTGATTCAAGATCAATGCTATGAATGCCAAAGGAAGATATGACTTGTTGGATCTGAAGCCATTTACAAGATATGAATTTCAGATTTCCTCTAAGCTACATCTTTATAAAGGCAATTGGAGTAATTGGAATAAAACGTTGACAACACAGACTCCAGAAGAAGGTATGTATGAAAAAAAAGATGGGGGGGAAGCAGGAAAGAAAAGAGTGAGAGAAAATTATATAATGATTTATTTGGAATAGAATCTCTAAAGTACTAGTACCGGACCAACTGATATGAGTGCATTTATTAATGAGTTAAGCTTTATATTAATGCAAGTACTATAACTATTCATGTACATACTTCTGTAACCAGCAATTTTTAATATTAGTTATTGAGACAGGAGAATAGATAGCACAAACGTGGTATACAACTGACATAGATGTGAAAGAATCAGAAAACTTGACCTTCCTTGGAAAAATACTCCCTTGGCCAGACATCGGAAAGTTTAACAGCTCTAACACTTGGTTGTTCCTTCAAGCAAACATCTGTGTGCTGATACAAGAATGAGTAATTGTTGTTCCTTGTTCTTTAACATGTCAGCATCTGTCATCTCCACCCCTGCAATCTTTGATCAGTTCCCATCTTTGATCAGCAAGCACACACAAGGCCTGGAAGCCTAGTATGTTTCTGCTCACAGAGTTCATGAGTTACAAACACTGGGCACCAAAGGGTGAAAACACGAAAACCTAAGACCAGGTAAAACCAAATGAAAGGCCCCACCAACTGACAGAGAGCAGAACTTCATTATAGGTTCATTGAAATATATTTATATTATAGAAAACACACTGATTCTCACCTTGACAGTTTGTAGTTGTCATGGCAACCCTAGGAATTGATCAGATTCGGTTAGAAACTGGATCGTGCTTTGATTTGGGGGCAAATCACTACCCCCATTTCACACTTCTCTATCAATTCAATCACTTGATCACTTGACATCCTGTTACTCATCAATTTGCTCGAGCAGGCACCAGTAATGTCTCCATTCATTCCTGTTGCGTGGTAGTGTAGCCCAATGGCATCCACTCGTTCCAGGAATAAGAAGAGCCTCAAACCATTTGTTCAGGGTCTTGACAAAGAAGTCTGGCCATCTCATAGGTGGGCAGCCATGCCATCTTTTGCAAGGGCGATTAGCCTGCAAGGGCGACTAGAGGCCACCCTAAAAGCCTCTATGCATTCAATGCCTTTTATTAATTTGTTCCATTTCTACAACTATACAACTTAGAAATTTGTAGAAAAAATGCTCTTGGAGTCGGAGAGATAGTATAGCAGGTAGGGTGCTTGCCTTGCATGATGCCAACCTGCGTTGGATTCCTGGTACCACATATGGTCCCTGAGCCCCACCAGGAATGATCCTGGAGCACAGAGGCAGGAGTCAGCCCTGAGCACTGCCTAGTGGGTCCCAAAAACTTAAAGAAAAGAAGCAATGCACCTCCCTAGAATTTGCCCACACTGAGTGTTCCCACTTTTGGTAAACTGCTGTCTTAAAACAATGCTAGCCTCTTTTGACCAATATTTCTCAGTCTTTTTCAGCCTTCTTGTGACATTTCAGCCCCTAGTTTCATGCCCCTAATTCTTCCACTTACACAGTTTTCAACCCTGGGCCCCACAAGAATATCCTGGGAAACTGCCTTCATCCGGCTTCTGGTTGAGAACTACTATTTCCAAACATGCCCACTCTCTCACCCTCTGGCTCTCGGAGTGGGATATCTTACTTTTAAGCAACATCTCATCTTTATAATAGACAAAGCTATTCACTCTAAGCTGTGTCTGTACTTTGATTCTTGAATGTACACTTGACTTTCATAAACTACTCCTGTACTTAATTTTCCCTGACTGACTCTTCAATTCTTTGCTGTGGCAAAGTCAAGAACATGCTCTCCCAGGGTCATGCTAGCAGCCTTGGTCCTTGTGGGTTTTCCCAATACAGAACATCTCATGCCATTTGCCACATGTGGTCCTGTTGATTACAAGCATGTGCCTTGGTGATGTTTGGTGATAACACTTATCTCTGTTTTACATACTATGTCAGTAACTCTAACGCCACAAAGCTATACCCAATAATATGTCATTCTTTTATAGTTAAAACTTAACACAATTTACTTTTGCACACCAAGAAAATTATTATGACTCTTTTTTTAGGCCATATTAAAATTTTGAGAAAAAAGTGGACCTGGAGACAATATTTTGAAATAAAATTTAACATACAGTGTCTCTTCTAATGTCATTGCACTGCATTCCTTCAAGTTTTTGATATTCATGGCTCAGATGAGTATCATCATATTATCCTGAGAAAGATATCAAATATATTTTTCACTCTAATGTTCTTTTTCTCCCTAGTAATTATTGGGAACATAATTTTGTTGAAGTGTAGCCAAGTATATTGAAGCAAAAATGCTTATATGAAATTTTCCCAGCAAACACTTGGAATCACCAGAACTAGCCATCTGAATGTTTTCAAAACATCTAATTAGTCTTATAGTATGGAATTTTTTCATGATTTGTGTAAATTTGGTTCAGAGGGGAAAAATTAGTCTATAGCCTGTCACATATTGCCTGGAGGTTCTTAAATATTAATATAAGAATTTCTAAGTGCTTATTTGTGGAAGTTAAAGTAGACAGGCATATAAAATAGCCTCATGATTAAGTTGCATTCATTTTCTGTGAGTTTTATGGCTGTGAATGACTAATGGCTCACCAGAAATACACCAACAACATTAAAAAAAACTAAGACTTCCTAAATCCTAAATTGCTACTTGTAGAATAACTAATATTCTTTCTTTGTTCATGCTAATTGCGTTTTTCTACTTAGAAAATGTTTCAAAAATTAATTTATCCAATAAAAATTTATTCCCTCTCATTATATGATAAAAATCTTTTTATAGATCTTAAAACACTTGCTCTCTGCTTAAATCATTGTCATTAAAATGTTATTATTGTCATCTTTAGAATCAGTGCTTATTCTTAGTATCATTTTGTTGCACATAATCAGAATAATTTTTTTATGATCTCTAGGGTTAGGTCTTGTTTATACCTGGCATGGATAAAATTCCTGATAAGGGGGCACATGTTTTGTACCATTCAAAAAGTAAATATAAATTGTGGAGTTCATGCCCAATTCAATCGGCTTAATCAATGGCTGAACTCCTACATTATTTAAAAAATATTAAAAAAAAGTAAATTAAGAATTTTTTTATTATATCACATTAGATTAACATATAAACTAGAGAAACTCTGCCCTTGTAAATTCTTGCCACTTTTACTCACAATTGATAATAACCTATATAGGGATTTGTTAAGAGGTTTTTATTTTTTTATTTTAAGTGTTATTAAATTAAAAAAAAAACCCTTCATGCTAGCCTGGTAACTTTCTCACATCCTATAAAATAAACCACCGTCATAGAAATGAGTACAACTTGTTACAGCTATAAACCTGCATGATTATGAATTGAACCAAGGAAGTTGGGGTTTTTTTTAAAGTGAAGGCATTCATAAAGAAATAACCCCAAACTCTGAGATCCTCCACGCTGTCTGAATCTCCCATTCTGGGTTTCAGCTGCTTTGTGGGTAGTTGTAGGATCTCTTTTCTCTCACTCGAAGCTGCTTGGTTTTTACCACTTACCACCGTTTTTGTCATCAGTTTCTTGATGAAAAACCAACTGATGTAAAGCTACAAGGTGTGAATTTTTTTTTAACATTTCTTTCTTGAACCTTTCAAATGTGTACTCATCTGTAACTTGGCATTTAAAAATATTACTAGTAAGCCTTTTCAGATTACTCTCTAAAATGGAGTGATGACACTATACTCTATAGCTTTTGCTACTCAGAACTGAGAACAACAATGACTCCTGGCAGACTGGGCGGTGGGGCTCAGTAACATCACATCAGCAGAGACTACACCATTATTTCTCCATATGACCCTTTCCAGTGTCATTAAGTTCAATCATGTCATGTGCCTCCATGTAAAACACTTTTTAAATGACCACTAAGTAAGGAATCAGAGGAAAGAAATCACTCTGTTGTGGTGGGGACAGTGATTGTACAGTAGGGAGGGCACCTACCTTGCCCACAGTCGATCCCAGGTTTGATCCCTGGCACCCCGTAAGGTCTCTTGAGCCCATCAGGGGTGATCCCTGAGCTTAGATCCAAGAGTGAACCCTGAACGAAGGAAGGAAGGAAGGAAGGAAGGAAGGAAGGAAGGAAGGAAGGAAGGAAGGAAGGAAGGAAAGGAGGGAGGGAGGACATTCCCCTGTGTTTAGCAAGATAGTTGCCTCAAAAAAACTGAGTGTTAAAAGTAGGTAAAGGGATATTCCTGATAACCTTTCAGTATCTGTACTGCAATGACCAAAAGGAGAGAGAGGGAGAGAGAGAGAGCAAGAGAGAGAGAGGAGAGAGAGAGAGAGAGAGAAGATAGAGACAGAGAGACATAGAGAAAGAGAGAAGATTACCTGCCATAGAGGCCGGCTGGAGGAATGATGGGGGCGGGGGGGACTGGGACACAGGTACCTGTGCTGGGAAATGTACACTGGTGGAGGGATGGCTATTGGAAACTGCATGACTGAAACCTAATATAAACAACTTTGCAAGGGTCTATCTCACACTGATTCAATTAAAAAAATTTTTAAAAAGGTCTCTTTTAGAGTCTGGCCTGATACTAGGAAGAACTTTAAATTTCATGGTTTAGGCTTCATGGTATACAGGTGCCTGAGAATATGCCCTCACCTCATAGAACACCTGAAAGGAGGCACCAAAAGAAAGAGGAACAAATGAGCTATGTCAATAGGTATTTCTGCCTCTCCATGGTTTTTTTTCTCTTTATGGAAAAGTTTTTTTTTTCTAATCTTATTCAAACACCATGGTTTACAACATGGCCGACCCGAGTTCGATTCCTCCGCCCCTCTCGGAGAGCCCGGCAAGCTACCGAGAGTATTCGATATGCCAGACACAGTAACAACAAAGTCTCCAATGGAGATGTTACTGGGCCCGCTCGAGCAAATCGACGATCAACGGGAGGGCCTTTACTTACTTACTTACATGGTTTACAAAGTTGTTCATGATACAATTTGGAGCAGTCAATGTTTCAACACCAATCCCACCACCAGTGTGAATTTTTTTCTACCAAT